CACTATAGACAGTGAGAGAAGGGTGTAATACGTTACATACACTATAGACAGTGAGAGGAGGGTATAATACGTTATTTACACTATAGACAGTTTGGGGAGGGTGTGATACGTTACATACAATAGTACTATAGACAGTGAGAGGTTGGTGTAATACATTACATACACTATAGAAAGTGAGAGGAGGGTGTGATACGTTACATACACAATATACAGTGAGAGGAGGGTGTGATGCGTTACATACACTACAGACAGTGAGAGGAGGGTGCGATACGTTACATACAATAGGACTATATACAGTGAGAGGAGGGTGTGATGCGTTACATACACTACAGAAGTACTATAGACAGTGAGAGGAAGACAGTGAGGGGAGGGTGTAATACGTTACCTACACTATAGACAGTGAGATGAGGATGTAATACGTTACACACAATATAATCAGTGAGAGGAGGATGTAATACGTCACATACACAATAGACAGTGGGGGGAGGATGTAATACGTCACATACATTATAGACAGTGAGTGGAGGTTGTGATACGTTTTATACATTTTAGACAGTGAGAGGAGGATGTGATACGTTATATACACTATAGACAGCGAGAGGAGGATGTAATACGTTAGATACACTATGGACAGTGAGAGGAGGATGTGATACGTTATATACACTATAGACTGTGAGAGGAGGGTGCAATACGTTACATACACTATATATACACAATAGACAGTTTGGGGAGGGTGTGATACGTTAATACAGTATAGACAGTGGGGGAGGGGGTGATACGTTACATGCACTATAGACAGTGGGGGAGGGTGGGATTCGTTACATACAATAGTACTATATACAGTGAGAGGAGGGTGTGATACATTAATACACTGTAGACAGTGAGGGGAGGGTGTAATACCTTATATACACAATAGACAGTTTGGGGAGGGTGTAATACGTTATATACATTATAGACATTGAGAGGAGGATGTAATACGTTACATCCACTATAGACAGTGAGATGAGGATGTAATACGTTACACACAATATAATCAGTGAGAGGAGGGTGGTATACGTTACATACAATAGTACTATATACAGTGAGAGGAGGGTGTAACACGTTACATACACTATAGAAAGTGAGAGGAGGGTGTGATACATTAATACACTCTAGACAGTGAGGGGAGGGTGTAATACGTTATATATACTATAGACAGTGAGGGGGGGGTTCAATACGTTATATACACTATGGACAGTGAGAGGAGGATGTGATACGTTATATACACTATAGACAGTAAGAGGTGGGTGTGATACGTTACATACAATACAGACAGTGAGTTGAGGATGTACTACAATAGACAGTGAGAGGAGGGCGTGCTATAGACAGTCAGAGGAGGATGTAATACGTCACATACATTATAGACAGTGAGGGGAGGATGTAGTACGTTATATATACTATAGATAGACAGTGGGGGAGGGTGGGATTCGTTACATACAATAGTACTAAGACAGTGAGGGGAGGGTGTAATACACTAGATACACAATAGACAGTGAGAGGAGGGTATAATACGTTATTTACACTATAGACAGTTTGGGCAGCGTGTGATACGTTACATACAATAGGACTATATACAGTGAGAGGAGGGTGTGATACGTTATATACACTATAGACATTGAGAGGAGGATGTAATACTTTATATACATTATAGACAGTTAGAGGAGGATGTAATACGTTACATACACAATATACAGTGAGAGGAGGGTGTAACACGTTACATACACTATAGACATACGTAACATACACTATAGACAGTGGGGGGAGGGTGTGATACGTTATATACACTATAGACAGTGCGAGGAGGACGTAATACGTTATATACATTATAGACATTGAGAGAAGGATGTAATACGTTATATACACTATACACAGTGAGGTGAGGGTGTGATACGTTAATAAACTATAGACAGTGGGGGAGGGTGGGATTCGTTACATACAATAGTACTATATACAGTGAGAGGAGGGTGTGATATGTTACATACACTACAGACAGTGAGTTGAGGATGTATTACGTTACATACACTATAGACAGGGTGGGGAGGATGTAATACGTTACATCCACTATAGACAGTGAGATGAGGATGTAATACGTTACATCCACTATAGACAGTGAGATGAGGATGTAATACGTTACATCCACTATAGACAGTGAGATGAGGATGTAATACGGTACATACACTATAGACAGTGTGGGGAGGGTGTAATACGTTACCTACACTATAGACAGTGAGAGGTTGGTGTGATACATTACATACACTATAGAAAGGGAGAGGAGGGTGGGATACGTTACATACAATAGTACTAAGACAGTGAGGGGAGGGTGTAATACGTTATATACACAATCGACAGTGAGGGGAGGGTGTAATTCATTACATACACTGCATATAGACAGTGAGAGGAGGGTGTAACACGTTACATACACTATAGAAAGTGAGAGGAGGGTGTGATACATTAATACGCTATAGTCAGTGGGGGAGGGTGTGATACGTTATATACACTAGAGGAGGATGTAATACTTTATATACATTATAGACAGTGAGGGGAGGGTGGGATACGTTACATACAATAGTACTAAGACAGTGAGGGGAGGGTGAGAAACGTTAAATACACTATAGACAGAGGGGGAGGGTGTGATACATTAATACACTGTAGACAGTGAGGGGAGGGTTTAATACATTACATACACAATAGACAGTGAGAGGAGGGTGGTTATTTACACTATAGACAGTTTGGGGAGGGTGTGATACGTTAATACATTATAGACAGTGGGGGAGGGGGTGATACGTTACATACAATAGGACTATATACAGTGAGAGGAGGGTGTGATGCGTTACATACACTACAGAAGTACTATAGACAGTGAGAGGAAGACAGTGAGGGGAGGGTGGGATACGTTACATACAATAGGACTATATACAGTGAGAGGAGGGTGTAACACGTTACATACACTATAGAAAGTGAGAGGAGGGTGTGATGCGTTACATACACTACAGAAGTACTATAGACAGTGAGAAGACAGTGAGAGGAGGGTGTAACACGTTACATACACTATAGACAGGGTGGGGAGGATGTAATACGTTACATCCACTATAGACAGTGAGATGAGGATGTAATACGTTATATACACTATATACAGTGAGAGGAGGGTGTGATACATTAATACGCTATAGACAGTGAGGGGAGGATGTATTACGTTATATATACTATAGATAGACAGTGGGGGAGGGTGTGGTACATTAATACACTATAGACAGTGAGGGGAGGATGTAATACGTTATATATACTATAGACAGTGAGGGGAGGGTGTGATACGTTAATACACTATAGACAGTGGGGGAGGGTGTGATACATTAATACACTATAGACAGTGAGGGGAGGGTGTGATACGTTACATACACAATAGACAGTGAGGGGAGGATGTAATACGTCACATACACAATAGACAGTGAGAGGAGGATGTAATACGTTACACACAATATAATCAGTGAGAGGAGGGTGGTATACGTTACATACAATAGTACTATAGACAGTGAGAGGAGGGTGTGATACGTTACATACACTACAGACAGTGAGTTGAGGATGTACTACGTTACATACACTATAGACAGTGAGAGGAGGGTGTAACACGTTACATACACTATAGACAGTGAGAGGAGGGTGTGATACGTTATATACACTATAGACAGTGAGAGGAGGGTGCAATACGTTACATACACTATAGACAGTGAGAGGAGGGTGTGATGCGTTACATACACTACAGACAGTGAGTGGAGAATGTAATACGTTACACACAATATAATCAGTGAGAGGAGGGTGGTATACGTTACATACACTATAGACAGTGAGAGGAGGGTGTAATACATTACATACACTATATATAGTGAGAGGAAGGTGTGATATGTTGCATACACTATACATAGTGAGAGGAAGGTGTAATACATTACATACACTATATATAGTGAGAGGAGGGTGGTATACGTTACATACACTATAGACTGTGAGAGGAGTGTTCAATAAGTTGTAAAAATTATACTTGTGCGTAGTTTAAAATAGCAAATAAAGGAAAGGAAGGGTAGAGCTTACGGGACGGGGATAGGGAGGGTTTTGGGTCAAAACATGAGATCATGAACACAGTGCTTCTCAATTCCTCTATTCCTCTAAGCCATTTAAATCATTAGGGATTTTCTTTTAATTTTACTTTGTTAATGTTGACCTTTCTGAATGCATTAAAAAGAATGAAAAGAAAAACTTGAATAATAAAGCTTGTTTGCGCTCGAAAAAAGTGTCAGATCGTACCAGAGAGCTTAAGATTCGATTTCTTTTTTCGTTGATGAGTGGGAGAGGGCATTACCCCGGCTCCCCCTAGAAACGGTGGCCTTTTTGTCGTCCAACTTGCACCTTTCGCGCACAGGGACCTGATTTAAAGAATTTAAACCCCTAAAACATGTGAAATTACTCTGAACACCCTTAGTTTAGGTCCAAAAATAGCTGTAACAAATGTTCAGGTCCCTGTGCTTTCACGCACGTAGATATCATTTCAAACAAACTGTTTTTGCACCTACTGTGCTAGTGATAATCAAGTTCGAGCGTGTCACATTTAGCGCAGTAAACAGCAAATGTATATTTGGGATATGACCGCAATATATTGACGCAAATGAACGCCATAATACGTTTGTTAACCTTTCATTGCGAAATGCGACAATTGCACTCAAATGAGTTCTGTCGCGCGACACTGAAGAAAAATATGTGACAGTTTCAACCACCAGCGCTGTTCTCAGTAACACATCTTTTCCTAATTAATATTTTCTAGTATTCCGATGGAAAACATTACTGCGGGTTGAAATGAACCCATAACTGACTGATTTTGTTCTGGTATTTATATTTTCAGAAATATTACCGGGGAGATGGTTTTGATTGAATTACATTCGTTTCGTTGATGACGAAAGGAAGCAAAGGATTTCTTTCAAATTCTGATATAAGAAAAAGACCGAAAGTAGTTGAGAAACATTGCACTCAATATTCAGAAAAAGACATATCTTAACGTCAAACGCCTACAAGGAACCATGCCACATGCTCCGATGCTGAAGTGCAGGACAACAGGACGGTGCAGACGACAACTCAATGGAAACAATCACGTGACAAACGTTCAAGGTCACCCACATGGAGCCGTCGGAAGTACAAGTATTTATCCAAATAATTCTAGTCAAAATGGCAATGCGTCTGTCAGGTAAGTTGCATCTGTTCTTATATTCAAATTTTGAATTACACGATGTTCGCAATTGTCAATAGGAAGATATGTCGCAAGCAATATTTCTGTACAGCAAATTTATTCCTGTTTCTGTAGTTATACAAATTCGTCCTTGACAAGAAATAAACGTTTTCTCATCTTTTTTTCATTTCCCCTAATAAATAGTCGCATGCTGCTAAATCATTATTCATATTATATATATGCAAAACGAATTAAAATGTAAGCAAACAAGTACATGTACATTTTTCATGATTTTTAAAGTACATGAAACGTTCGGGTTGTCTCCCTTCTATTGCGACCAGTCGTTGATATCAAACACAACACAGATTTTTGTTTCAATGAGCGAAATACTTTCTAGTGTAGAGATTGGTCAGTTTATCAAAAACAAAATAATGACAGCAAGGTTTGAATTTTGAAATGAGTGTGCCGAAGATGTATTCACAGTTATGATGTTATAAAAGGTTATGAACATTTTTTTTTAAATATTAGACCTACAGTATAATAATGACTTAAATACAGAATTTTTATTTTTTCAAAAAGCACCAGTTATTTTCATTTTTTAACCCAAATTCCTCAGCAAGCATTAATTCCTAAAACTTAGAATCTGTTGGATGTTGCTTGTTTAGGAAAACGCATTATAAAGGCAGATTAAATTGTCAAGTTCATATTTTTCAGGTAAGAAATAAACACTCATGTAAATCTAAAAAAAAACTTTTCCAAATATGTACCCATGTTGATGTATGTACAGGGTTGCTCAGAACGTAAGATCATTTTGAAAAGGACAATAGAACCAAACAATGTGATATAGTGTGGAGGAAATATTGGTGTTATTTGTGACTGTATTTGACCACACAACCACCCCTATCCCTTATAAGTGCCCATTGGTGTTATTTGTTACTGTATTTGACCTAACAACCACCCCTATCCCTTATAAGTGCCCATTGGTGTTATTTGTGACTGTATTTGACCTAACAACCACCCCTATTACTTATAAGTACCCATTGGTGTTATTTGTGACTGTATTTGACCTAATAACCACCTCTATCCCTTATAAGTGCCAATTGGTGTTATTTGTGACTGTATTTGACCAAATAACCACCCCTATCCCTTATAAGTGGCCATTGGTGTTATTTGTTACCGTATTTGACCTAACAACCATGTGCACACCCCTATCCATAAGTACCCCCTGTTCTTTTTTTCTTGTCCGAGAGTCCTATTCCTTTACCAGAATTTATCAACAAACTTAAAAATCATTTTATGCCGCTGTTTTTTGAGAATATTGGGAGGTTCTGCAATTATTCTGATTTTCCAAAATTGCTTAGTGTCCAGGACCTAAGTGCGTTATATAAATAAACCTTGACTTGTTGTTGTCCTTGACCGTTTTAAAAAAAAACTTACAACTATTAAACATGTTGCAGTGACCTGGTACATTTCCCTCGACGTATTGCCAAAACCTACTATTATGCCAATTTAGCAGGATATATTGTGGCAGTGTAACGATCGAGGTTGACCATATTTCAGACCAAGGAAACATCCAAGTCAGTTTTCACAGGTCATGATGGCTATTATACTAATGGAAAAGTGGTCAGCATTATTTTCATACATATTCGATTTTCATTTCAGTAGTTCAGTGTTGTTTAAATGCACATATAATAATTCAAAATGATAATGAAAGTTAAATTTTAGCAATGTCAATGGAAGGTTAAAAGTAGGCCTTCACCAGATTGCTCAGAATTTCAGAAAAATTCATGAATGTAATAACACTCTAGAATAATGGTTTGTTTCTTTGCTTTCCAAACAATAGACATCTTGATTAATAAATAATCGCATCTCTTTTATAATTTGTGTTGTATGCTAACAAGTATAGAATAAAATAACCATCAGCTGTCTCCTTATTGTCTCGACAAAAAATATAATTGCATTTTCAATTCTTTACCAAGTGTATTAAAAAAGTTTAAAGTTCTGTCTGACACTGGTTAGTGATGTTTTTATGGGCCTTTTATCTTTCTGGCACTTAACACGAATTGTGACCTGTATCGCATTTCTTTTATACAGTTCTTAATGATGTGCTAGAATTTTGCCACAAAATTCACTCCCCACAATTAAATTGTATTGGGTACATGTGGGTACCTTTCATTACGTGCCCCGCCTCCTGTTACCAGATACCATGAGGGCTCGATCGATCTGCGATTGAAATCTCAAATGCAGAATCTAGACTCAGTTTGCTAAATGTCAATCTGTATCACTTAAATACTGGAAAGGAGCCATCGAGAAACTTCCCCTCCATTTTCACACAATTTTTCATATACATTTTTGTACTACTAGTACTATGACACATAAGTTCACAAAAGGTATAAAACAGTGACGCTGTGTCTGTACTTAAAATACTCAAATTGCGTTTTAATTGAAAACTGGACATTTTGTCTTCAAACAGTGTAAATTTAAAAGATTGATGTGTTATTATAGAATGTAGCTTTTAAAATTTCCTTAAATGGGAACTTTCAGAAACTGATATGAAGTATTTTATTAATATCTTCCTACTCTGCAGATGGTGAATGAACTTGAAGACTCACTTCAAGGCCACAGCAGACATTTAAGAATTTGGACAATTCTTTTTCTATATTACATCTCTATGAATATGCCCACCGTATCAGTACATTTTCTCTTTCATGTGCATCAAAAATAATCTTGTTTAACTAATAGATTTTTGATCACTATCAGCACCAGTGAGTGTCTCTGTCATTTTGGGATTTCTGACAAAACCTGTGGCTAACTGTCATAACTGTCATATATCTCCAAACTCCATCATCACATAAACAAAATGAATGTGACATAACCTTGAAAATAATTACCTAGAGATTTGTGTTTCAGAGTTGTCTTCCTTGAACAAAATTAAGCATTATGAGTCTTCTCAAAGCTTCTGTCTATAGCTACCAACTGTATAATAAAAAAGGATAAAAAAGGATATATATATAGTTGGTAGTCTTTATATATACCACCTGTCTATATCTACCCCCTGTCTTTATAACTGCCACATGACAATAACTATCACCTGTCTATACCTATTACCTGTATATCTACCACCTATTTTTAACTATTACCTGTCTATAACTATCACCTGTCTATATCTACCACCTGTCTATATCTTCCATCTGTCTATAATTACCATCAATCTATATCTTCAACCTGTATATACCAACCACCTGTCTATATCTACCACCTGTCTATATGTACCACCTGTATCTACTAACCACCTGTCTATAATTACCACCTGTCTATATCTTCCATCTATCTATAACTACCATCAGTCTATATCTTATTCTACCACCTGAATATATCGACCACCTGTCTATGATTACCTCCTAACTATAACTACCACCTGTATCTACTAACCACCAGTTTATATCAACCACCTGTCTATATATACCACCTGTCTATAGCTATAAACTGTATATAACTACCAACCTGTATATACCAAACATCTGTCTATAACTACCACCTGTCTATATCTATAAACTGTCTATATCTACCACCTGTATTTAACAAACACCTGTCTATATCAACCACCTGTCTATGACTACCTCCTAACTATACCTACCACCTGTATATACCAACCACCTGTCTATACTTACCACCTGTCTATTATTAACAACCTGTCAATGACTACCTCCTAACCATAACTACCACCTGTCATTATCTATATCTAACACCTGTATATACCAACCACCTGTCTATATCTACCACCTTTATATACTAACCATCTGTCTACAACTACCACCTGTCTATAGCTACCACCTTTCTATATCTACCACCTGTCTATATCAACCACCTGTTAATAACTACCTCCTAACTATAACTACCACCTGTCTTTATCTATAAACTGTCTATATCTACCATCTGTCTATATTAACCACCTGTCTATAGCTACCACCTGTATATATCAACCTCCTGTCTATATCTATAAACTGTCTTTAACTACCACCTGTATATACCAACCACCTGTCTATAGCCAACACCTGTATATATCAACCACCTGTCTATGACTACCTCCTAACTCTATCTACCACTATCTATATCTACCACCTGTCTATAGCTAATACCTGTATATATCAACCACCTGTCTATATCTACCACCTGTTTATACAACCACATACCTGTTTATAGCTATCATCTGCCTTATCACTACTTTTTTTTTCGTGTCTCTCTTTATAATGTAACAGGGTGTTGGTATAAAAGACCAATTCTTCCTCTGGACAGACTTAATTTAAGGACAAGATAAATTTATTTTCTATAAGTGACACCTTTGTCAAAGGAACACCACAGGAAATGTCTGGAGGGAGACAGTTGTATGGACCCTGTTAGTCCCAGGTGTGGACATGTATATATTAGGCGTTATTTACTGTCGAGTGACCGCCCACTTTTCATACCTGGTCATCGGTATCCCACCATTCCATATAATTTACCTCTTCATGAGGTAAATTATAGTCTTTTTAAACCAGTGTTTGCTAACACTCAAATTATAGTCATATGCTTAAAATTTTGATACGGTAAATATCCTACATATTTTCTTATGTTTTAACTGTGATATGGTAAATATCCTACATATTTTCCACATTATAATTGATACGGTAAATATCCTACATATTTTCTACATTATAATTGATACGGTAAATATCCTACATATTTTCTTATGTTATATATTTAAAATTAACAAACCATATAATTTATATCATTAAGCTGGCCAGAAGATTGTTATCAGAAAAAGAACTTGAAGAAGTGCCTGAAATTTTCTATAATTATGAAAGTATATATGTAGCATATCAATAATACTGCCTGGATGCAAACCTCTTTCCACAGGGATTCTAGACTTAAATTTGGTACTCTGTAGTTTCAGTACCTAAAGGTAGGGATATTTCCGTATTTTTTTTATTAAGATAAAAAAAGCTGAATTGTCTTCATGAAATTTAAATCAATGACAC